TTTATCCAGTTCTAATAGGCCTTAATGGAATAGTGAAAGAAGCAGCCACAACAGTTCCTTAAATCTATAGAAAAGCCCCTTACTTTGTACCAATTGGACAGTGCAAAACAGTTTCATACTATAGCTTGTGATTTTTTTATGCAGTACCAGAGTGTATTGTCTTATAGGTTTAATAAAATGACAAAACAGAGTGCATAAAAGCACTTTAAATTCACAAATCTGCACTCCAGAAATGCAGCAGATTTTATCCTGAAATAAAAAATAAAATGCAATATTTCAAATACAGTAGCCATACAGAATATGCAAGCCGCTTGATTGAACTGCAATGAAAGAGGCAGTTTTTGCCATGAATTAATAAAATAGAGTATAATTTTTTAGAGACAATGACCTAATGTTTTTTACAGACTCATTGCACGGTATATACTTAGTTTCACTAAGCCACAATTTAAGTGGAAGAAAAAAAGGTAGATTTTATTGTGAAATAAAAATGAGAGTGTAGCATTTCAGAAATAACAGCCAGAAATATTGTACATACTAGTATTTTTTTAATACAGTATGTGTGACATTTGTTGTCTTCGTAATATTGATTGAACATTGCTTATCTATTTGGGGGGAAAATATTTCCTATATGGACTAGAATTGTATTTCTCTTCACGATTGTCTATTGCTTATTGAAAATCTCCTGTATGGACTAGAATTACATTTACGTATGTTCCTCTAAGGGAAAGTGAAAGGCAAAGTTTACTTGTTCACTTAAGCTAGTGTTTAGCAGACATATTTACACCTTGACAAAGTCCATGTGGAAGTGGCTGAAACCAGTCAGTGTACACTCACCCTCTGTGTTCACATTGGACCCATAGCCCAGCACGGTTCTGAATACATGACAAGGACCACCATGGTGTTCAGCCCTCCATACTCAGCAGAAACAGCAGTGTGACATGTGGCTGCATTCAGTGAGCACAGAAACTTGATACACAGGTCTATGTCACAGAACTCTGTATTTAATTGAGAATCTAGGAGCGCTACTGGTCTTAAGTGTGTTTTTATATACAAATAGCACAGTGACAGTGTATCTCAGCACCTTGGCATTTCCTTGTCAGAAGAAGCCTTGGGATCAGCTGATAATTGCTATGTGTTTCAATTTACTTACCTGCTGGCTTGTGTACATCCACCCTCCCATTGCTGTCCATGACTGTTCACATGCTCATTGCAGTTTGCTTTCACTGTGTAATGACAGTTGTTTATCTGAAACATTCCAAGTAATGATTTGATACACAGTGTGCTGCATTAGGTTGAGAGGAACAGTTCCAGCAAGAATCTTGTAATGATTGAGGCCAGTATCAAGTGAGCATTAATGTATGTACAGATAAAGATTTTTATCTGATTCAGGCTAAGAGCTCTGCTATGGAGCAGTTTCAAGAAGTAATAGAACAGGAGCTAGTCGATTTTAAATAAGTGGGCAGCCCTGTGGGAGCTCGTAACATTACTAAGGCAGAGTATGCTACTATTAAAACCCTAAAAGCAAATATACTGTAAGCAAGCAATGAGACAAGTTTGGGAGGATAGTGTACAGTATTCTTAAGGATGACCCCTTAGTCCCATTTCAGAAATTGCTTTTTTGATTTGATAACAAAAGAATGATTAAAGGTATTATTAGCAAGAGGGCAGCATGCCATTGTTCTGGTCTTCTGTGGGCCAATTGTAGTGGGTATTAGTGGCTAGAACTTATGAAGAATTTCATTTGGACAAAAGATTATATTTGGGCCCCTTTGGATGTGAGAGTGTCGTACTCCTAAATGCCCCACCATTTAGCCTTAATGGCCTTACAATTTCACTTTCCCAAGTATAGAAATTACTTGCTGGAATTACAGGAGTATTTTATCATGGTCAGGGCTGTTTGGGGGTGTGTACCATTTACAGAAACATGCAGCATCTATGGAAACAAAACTTTCCCTCTCTCACCAACCTATTTCTGAGTTGGTAGGAGTAGCTTTGTGTTTTTTGCAGTTGGAATCCCTTATGTAAGAACATTGTGTGGTATGGAAAGTACATTGATAATTTATTGGTGGTATGGAGAGGATAAGCCAGGTGGGTAGAACAACTAATCAGTAATTTTAATGATATGAATTTATTTTTTACCTGCACTTGTGTAATTTTTTTGGATGTGTCCTTCACGGGAGATATGGAAATTGGAACAGTAACATCCTCTACTGTTTCCATGGAATGTACAGGAAATATAACTTTGAGAACAACCAGTTCCCACCCCTCCCATATAAGCAAGGCCTTTCTGGTCAGTGAATTTGCAGCAACTGCAGCATAGCCAACATTGAGTTTCAGAGCATGGGTGTATTTCAGCCAGGTGAACATTTGCTATAGATGACTGTTTTAGTAAAGCGTGGTAAACACATTCTGTTTTTTTTTTTTCATTAAACCAGTTGACTGAAAGAAACAAAAATGACAGCTATAGTATTCTGAGAGTTAGGACTTCTCCCCTTGCAAAATGCATATGCTGGTTTTCCAGCAAGGCCATTCAAAAAAAGCTGGCCGTTATACTGGCTTCTGTTAAACAGACAACGGTACACATGTACCAAAAATTGGCCAATTCCTACTGATCCAGCCAACTTTTGGTACATGTGTACCGGGCTTCAGCTACACTCTTCTGGTAAGCTGAAGGACATCTGGAAAGCCAGAGTAGCTAACCAGGAACTGCTGCACCTCCAGATTTAGGATGTGGCCACATAAGGCATGTGCATGTGAACTGTTCCTGCTTAAGGGCAGACAGCAGGTTGGTGCCATTGTTACACACAATCTGTCTGGTACAAGGCATGGGGTCAGCCACCTCTCAGCCTGTCCCTGATGTTTTGCCAGAATCTCCAGCCCAGTGTGACTCCTGTCCCTCATGTATACCTGCTGCAAAACAGCTGGTATGCGGCCATGGAGGAGGAGGGGCTAGAGGAGATTGCAATGTCACCATCACCAAGATGCAAGACACAGGGTAGCACCACCAACTCCAGCAGTGTGACCCGTCCTGCATTCTTCTGAACTGCCAGTATATTTAGCAAGTGGCCTGAGTCTGTGGCCAGGTGAATCCTACTGCTGACCACATAGTCCAGTTACACCAAGATATTATCTTTCATATGCTGGTGGAGGGCAGGGATAGCCTTCTGGATAAAAAATGTAGATAAGTACTTTTCACTGTAGTGCAGCAAAGGCATAAACTGTTGGAAGGGGATGACCTAACCAGCTGTAATAGAAGCAACTGTAAAACCAGCAGTTTTGTAAAGTTGGCATTCAAACACTGGGCATGAGGATAATTGGGGGACAATTATTTATTCCAACCCAGCAGATGTGGAAGAGACTGCTACCTGGCCAACTATGCTACTAGAAAGTGCAGGGTGAGGTTAGGAGACTTACAATGAGATTCAAGCCAATGCTTGGTCCTACTCAGCGTGACCCCATGTTGGCCCTCTTCCTTGCTAGATATGCTATAAAGAAAACCCCTTTTCAGACTTTTTTCCCTATCACTTTGGGTAGGTTTTTACTACAAAACTGCAAATATATTTCTCACTTTAATATTCAGATTATAGCCAGATTTATTACAGATGTAAAAAAAATATATATATTCTATATGATTTATTTTTTAGATTATTTTAATAAAAGTAAATGATTTAAATTTTTTTTATATGACTGAATTTTCTTGCACTAATTTCTATAACTCCAACTAGCTCCCCACCTGCTGCTCTTTTATGCCTGCCACTGCTCTTAGTATATTGTTTGGCTTTTAGATGAACAAAGCAGTGAGATGGCATCCTCTGAATTGTCCATTCCTTACTATTATACAAGAATACAAGAATTCTCCCTGAGAATGGCAGGCAAAATGATTTCTGCTCTTTCTAGGGCATAAGTTGTGAAAACATTGGCACTTACTGAGAGACTTGCTTTTTTCAATTGCTTTCAGCACTTGTTTTTGCCCCACTAATTGCATGAAATGTTTAGTCTTTGAACAGTGTAGGGAATGCAAGCACATGTTGCATATAAAAGGAAAGCAAAGAGGACCACATGACCATTAATGCCATGTTGAAGAACAGTTGTTGTTGATCTATTCAGAATTACGTCTTGGTAATATTATCCTCTTAACGACTATAGGCAGTTCATCCACTGTCTACTGCAGTTGTGAATTCCGTAAAATTAGCATACATTTATTACCTCCCTTTCTACCCTACTATCTACTTGTCCATCTTGTAGCTTCAGTTCTATAGTTATTTCCAGCAGCTAGAGTGGCTTCCATTGATGGATCTCTTTGTTTTCGCTATAAGACATTGTATTTGTCTCTATGCCTGCCCTCCTCAGCCTGGTCCATTGTAATACATTATTTCATCCCATCACATATTATATAACATACTATGAAAGTCCCAATCATAATGTAAGTTACAGCTTAGGAACCTATGACTAAAAATTAATATACACTGCTTAAAAAGATTAAAAAGTGTTCCTTTAATTTTTTTAAGTATAGTATCAAGTCAATTAAACTCCTGAGATATTGATCTGGGCAGTTAAGTAGCAGAGGGGTTTTTTAATTGGTTTCAGCTGCTTTGGTGTTAATTAAATTAACAACAGGTGCACTAGATGGGCAACAATGAGACGACCCATAAAAAAAAGGAATGGTTTTACAGGTGGTGGCCACTGCCATTTTTTTACTTACTCATCTCTTCTCTCTGTTTTTCACTAGTTTTGCATTTGTCTAGGGTCAGTGTCTCTACTGGTAGCATGAGGCGATACCTGGACCCTACAGAGGTTGCACAGGCAGTCCGACTCCTCCAGGATGGCACATCAATACGTACCATTGCCAGAAGGATTGGCATGTCTCCCATCACAGTCTGAAGAGCATGGATGAGATTCCAGGAGACAGGCAGTTACTCTAGGAGAGCTGGACAGGGCCGTAGAGGGTCCTTATTCCATCAGCAGAACTGGTATATGCTCTTTTGTGCAAGGAGGAATGCATGCAGACTGCTTCTACAAACATTTGTGAAAGAATGGGTAACTCTAAGGAGCTCAGTGAAGTCAAGCATGATACCGTGATAAGTTGCCACCTGTGCAACACGTCCATCTGTGAAATTTCCTTGCTACTAAATATTCCACTGTCAACCATTAGTGGTATTATAACAAAGTGGAAGAAACTGGGTACAACAGCAAAGTGGAAGACCATGTAAAATGACAAAGTGAGGTCAGTACATGTTGAAGCGCACAGTGTCCAGAAGTCTCCAACTTTCGGCAGAGTCAATAGCTAAAGACCTCCAAACTTCATGTGGCCTTCAGATTAGCACAACAAAAGTGCGTAGAGGGCTTCATGGAATGGGTTTCCATGGCAAAGCAGCTGCATCCAAGTCTTACATCACCAAGTGCACTGCAAAGCGTCGGATGCAGTGGTATAAAGCACACCACCACTGGACTCTAGAGCAGTGGAGACCTGTTCTCTGGAGTGACGAATCACACTTCTCTGTCTGGCAATCTGATGGACGTGTCTGGGTTTGACAGCTGCCAGGAGAACGGTACTTGCCTGACTGCATTGTTCCAAGTATCAAGTATGGGGGAGGGGGATTATGGTGTGGGGTTGTTTTTCAGGGGTTGGGCTTGGCCCCTTAGTTCCAATGAAGGAAAATGTTAAGGTGTCAGCATTTGAAGACATTTTGGACAATTTAATGCTCCCACCTTTGTGGGAACAGTTTGGGGATGGCCCATTCCTGTTCTAACATGGCTGCTCACCAGTGCACAAGGCAAGGTGTCAGGGCGCGAATGTTCAGCAGCATCACGGCGGGCGGCGCATGCGCAGAACACTGACACGGTCTAGCCGGCGGGCGACGGGACCTGGACGAGCGCGGCTGCGGCGATGGCCGCGCACTCGCGATCGCGGACACGTGCCTGGCACCAATGACAGCGCAGGGCGGGCTATTTAAACAGAACAGAGGTATGTCAAAATTGCCATTTGGTCTTATCTGCTCTGTTCCTAATTCCTGATCCTGTGATTATTCCGTTGCCGACCTCTGCATTGTACCTGACCCTGCTGACTTCTCCTGATTAACCCCTGGCTTGCCTGACCATCCTTCTGCCTGATCCTTGTACCGTGCTGCCCGCTAATTACTGAACCTGGCTTGTGACTCCAACCATTCTCTGCTTACTCCTCTGGTACCAAGCTGCCCGCACATTGCTGACCTGACCTGCCTGACTATGCCTCACGCTACCCAGGCGATCCATCCATCCCACACGGATTGCTCCCTGTCAGTAAGTCTGCCAGCCTCTTCACATCAGACTCCGTTTCTCGCACATCCCTGACGGTGCTCTCTACCACTGCCGGACGTACTCAGGGGTCACGACCTGGTCTCAGTCTGTGCCAAGTCCAACCCCACCATCAGGGGCCCTGGTGAATAGCAGATTGGGACTTAGACCCCACGCCCTGAGGAACTCCGCGCTGTGGGCTGCTAGAGACACCGCCGGGCGGATCATAACACAAGGTATAAAGACGTGGATGAGCGAGTTTGGGGTGGAGGAACTTGACTAGCCTGACCTCAACCTGAAAGAACACTTTTGGGATTTATTAGAGCAGAGACTGTGCACCAGGCCTTCTCATCCGACACTAGAGCCTGACATCACAAATGCGCTTCTGGAAGAATGGTCAAACATTCCCAAAGACACACTCCTAGACCTTGTTGACAGCCTTCCCAGAAGAGTTGAAGCTGTTATAGCTGCAAAGGGTGGGCCGACTCAATATTGAACCCTATGGACTGGTTGACTGGGATGCCAATAAAGTTTATGTGCGTGTAAAGGCAGGAGTCGCAATACTTTTGGGAATATAGTGTATGTATGTGTGTATGTATATATAGATATATATATATATACACACACAGTGCATCCAGAAAGTATTCACAGTGCTTAACTTTTGCCACATTTTGTTATGTTACAGCCTTATTCCAAAATGGTTTAAATTCATTTTTTTCCTCAACATTCTACAAACAATACCCCATAATGACAATGTGAAAGATGTTTTTGTTTTTTAAATCTTTGCAATTTATTAAAAATAAAAAACAAAAACCACATGTACATAATTATTCACAGCCTTTGCTCAATACTTTGTTGAAGCACCTTTAGCACCAATTACAAGATGAAGTCATTTTGAGTATGATGCTACAAGCTTGGCACATCTATATTTGGGCAATTTCTTCTATTCTTATTTGCAGTAACTCTCAAGCTCCATCAGGTTGGATGGGGAGCATCGGTGCACAGCCGTTTTCAGATCTCTCCAGAGATGTTCAATCGGGTTCAAGTCTGGGCTCTGGCTGGGCCGCTGCAGGACATTCACAGAGTTGGCCCGTAGCCACTCCTTTGTTATGTGGGCTGTGTGCTTAGGGTTGTTGTCCTGTTGAAAGATGAACCGTTGCCCCAGTCTAAGGTCCAGAGCGCTCTGGAACAGGTTTTCATCAAAGATGTATCTGTATATTGCTGCATTCATCTTTCCTTCAATCCTGGCTAGTCTCCCAGTTCCTGCCACTGAAAAACATCCCCACAGCATAATGCTGCCACCACCATGCTTCACTATAGGGATGGTATTGGCCAGGTGGTGAGCGGTGCCTGGTTTCCTCCAGACATGACGCTTGGCATTCTGGCCAAAGAGTTCAATCTTTGTTTCATCAGACCAGAGAATTTTGTTTCTCATGGTCTGAGAGTCTCTTAGGTGCCTTTTGGCAAACTCCAGGCGGGTTGCCATTTGCCTTTTACTGAGGAGTGGCTTCTGTCTGGCCACTCTACTATACAGGCCTGATTGGTGGAGTGCTGCAGAGATGGTAGTTCTTCTGGAAGGTTCTCCTCTCTCCACAGAGAAATAACCGGAGCTCTTTCAGAGTGACCATGGGGTGCTTGGTTACCTCCCTTGCTAAGGCCCTTCTCCCTTAATCACTCATTTTTGCTGAGTGGCCCGCTCTAGGAAGCTTCCTGGTGGTTCCAAACTTCTTCCATTTATGGATGATGGAGGCCACTGTTCTCATTGGGACCTTCAATGCTGCAGAAATTTTTTCTGTACCCTTCCCCAGATCTGTGCCTTGACACAATCCTGTCTCGGAGGTCTTCAGACAATTCCTTGAACTTCGAGGCTTGGTTTGTGCTCTGACATGCACTGTTAACTCTGGGACCTTATATAGACAGGTTTATGCCTTTCCTAATCATGTCTAATCAACAAAATTTCCCACAGGTGGACATCAATCAAGTTGTGGAAACATCTCAAGGATGATCAGTGGGAACAGGATGCACCAAAGCTCAGTGTCATGGCAAAGGCTGTAAATACTTGGGTACGTGTTTTTTTTGTTTTTTTTTATTTTTAATAAATTGAAAAAAATTTCAAAACAAACTTATTTCACGTTGTCATTATGAGGTATTGTTTGTAGAATGTCGAGGAAAAAAATAAATTTTATCCATTTTGGAATAAGGCTGTAACATAACAAAATGTGGCAAAAGTTAAGTGCTGTGAATACTTTCTGGCTGCACTAACTATATATACATATATATATATTAAAGCAATAGAAGTTTACATGTATGTATTATTTCTTATTATAAAATGTTTTTCTCCATTTCTGATACAGGAAATGGACATCAAGCCAGTTATTGTAGTCCATGGAGGAGCATGGGCAATACCAAATGATCTAGCCGAGAGCAGCAAGGATGGTGTTAGAAATGCAGCTAAGTGCGGATTTTCTGTACTAGCAAATGGAGGAAGAGCTGTTCAAGCTGTGGAGTGTGCTGTGAAATGCTGGAAAACAACATCGTGTTTGATGCAGGTATGTTTCCGTGAAATGTGAATGTTACTGCCTGTTTATAATTTTGTAATAAATATTAATATGTCATAAATGTAATATGTGAAATATTTTTTAATGTTCATATTAGTTTATATTTCTAAAATAGCAGCTATGTATTAGTCTAGGAAAATTTACGATCTAGGAGGAATTGAGATCCAATACCATATTGTAGTTCCTCTGTGCATTTGTTTGTTTGCTGAAATTTTACATTTGATGCTCTAAGCATTTAGTTACCATGCAAAATATTTAGGTACATGCACAAGGTCTTGATTTGGAAGCCTAAGCTGAGTCTTCCCAAATTTGGAAATTTTTGATTTTGCAAAAAAAAAGATCACTTTGATATGGTATTTGATATTTCATTTAAATATCTCCTTTGCTAGAGAATGTGTGGATGAATAGGCTCCCTCATTGGCATTTTATGGTGGTACAAAAATGTTATAGAGGTAGTCATTTTACAAAGAAGAAATACTGAGTAATTTACACAGGTTTGGCATACAAGAGTATTTCTTGTTGCATGGTGTAGAAGATTGTAGCCAAATTGGTTGGTGCACATGCACTCAGCAGAGTGTATGCATTGTGTCCCTATCAAAACCTATGAATTTGAATCTTTGTTCCACACTGATTCTAAACACCGATTTCCTGTAAATAGCTTCTCCAAGCAGGACATGCAGCTTGGTAAGAATAATGTTGTAACTTGGTCCTTTACAAGGGTTGGCTGTGGGTAGTCACTGTCACTTGTGTTAGAGCCCTTGGCCAAATGCAAAGTAGGGATTTAGAATATAGGAACAAGCTGGCCATACACACATGCATTTCCTTTGCTGAGCCTGAAAATAAATGTATAATATTTCTCCAGCTATGTTAAATAGCACGGATTAACATAAATAGCACGGATTAACATATCTCCCTTGCTAGCTATTGTATTCTGACAGCCGCACCCATGGCTGTCAGAATAACCAAATAGTACCTGCAGCTGATTGAATACAGCCACTGTTTGGCCAACAATTTACCACCTGGCCCCCTTAACAAAAGTTGATTGAATATTCAATTTTGGTCAAGCCAGATATGCAAAAACATGTCACTTTTAGTGTTTGGCATTTCTTTCCTGACTTGCCTGCAAATAAAATTACATCTGATTGGTTGCTTTGGAAAACGATTGGTTGCTTTTGGGTCAGTGATTTTGCAAAACAGTTTTATATCAGTTACCCAAAAATGAAAGAATAATAAAGAATGCAAAATGCAATTTAGCTTTGCTCTTATTTTTATGGTTCTGCTAGGAGCAGAAGCTTTCATATTTTAAAATACGTTAATGCTGCTTGAATGGTTCTGTCATCCCTGCTTCTCACTGCAAACTCATTCAGTGGAAAATATACTAGCCAACAAATGTATGCTGGTACATGAAGAATCTGGTGCCCTGCAGACATTATGATGTAAAAGACAAGACACCACATTTATGACTGAAACGTGCAATGATATTAGTATGTTGCCAAAAGCATTATATTTACTTAAAAGCTTGTGACAATAAGAGCAAATATTTTTCATTGTAATCAAGTCTAATAGCTGCCAGGATAGTTGTAGTAAATACCTATAAAATTGTTTTTCTAATATCTTTCCAAA